TCTGATAAACCCAAAGCAGATAGGAAAGCTGGCTCCTCCTGGGAAGAGGCAGCAAAGGCAGTCCCACCTGGCAGCTGCAGCGGCCCAGCAGCCTGGAGAAACAGCTGACGTCAGGTGGAATTTTTCCATGTGCCTCTTTCTGTTCCCACAAGGAGTGTGCAAGTCTGGACCAGGAAGGGCTGTATCAGGAGCACCTGTTTCTGTTTTCCTTAGGTTTACTGGACATTTCTAATGCAGGCAGGAGCTTGCTGCACCCTTGCTGATCTGGCTTTACACATGGCGCACAGGTTAGTTTCACCTGGCCGTGGCAGTGGCACCAGTGCTGCAGCATCCCTGAAAGGCTCTTGATGCACCCCAGTTGAAAACCACTGATCTAGTGCAGGGGTCAACGATCTAGGGTCCATGGGCTGGATCCAACCTGTGGCAACTCAGAGAATCTCCAGCATGCTCCAGCCAGTGGTGGAGCAAATCTCCAGCCATCTCTAGCATGCGCCAGGCACAGCATGCTCCAGACTGTGGTAGAGGGGACATCCCCAGGGTCCTATTGCCTACTTCTTTTAATACGGGCTTGTCCAACATGCGGCCTGCCAAGCCATTTTCTGTGGCCCACAGTGCTGCGATGGGAAACGAAAGTAAATACTATTTACTTTCGTTCCCACCCCTTGTCCCTCAGCAGCTTCCTAATGGCTGCTGAAGGGTTGGGGAAGGGACAAGGTTCCCACACGCACCGCGTCAGCTTGACGTTGCCAACGCAGTGTGTGTGGGAAGAGGAGTAGCCATGTGCCACTCGGGACAGGATGAGCGCAGCTGGAGCAGCAGGGGGCTCAGCTGCACTTTCCCCCTACCTGCGCTGGTCAGTCTCAAGCAGCACACGGCTCCCCCGCCGCCTCTGCTGGCTGGTGCCGACCTGGGCAGGTCTGTCCCATCTGGAGCAGCACGCAGCTGAAGCCAGATTCCCATGTGCTGCTGGGGCCGGGAGGATCCCGGCCGGGTCAGCACTGGCTAGCAGAAGCAGTGGTGGAACCGGGTGCCGCTTGGGACTGACCGGTGCAGGCAGGGGGAAAATGCAGTTGAGCCCCTGCCGCTCAGGGCTCGTCCTGTCCCCAGGGGCACACGGCTCCACTGCCACTTCTGCTGGCTGGTGCAGACCCGGCTGGGCTCCTCCCAGCCCGGGCAGCTCGTGGGAAGCCGGCTTCAGCCGTATGCTGCT